AAACATCTTCAAAAGGAAGTACTTTGATTACCATTCAGACAAAAGACTCTTCCCTTTAAAATAATCATGACACTGCAAAAATTGCCTTTTTGTACTACCACCTCCAGAATCTGGAGGAATATGACCAGCTCTGGATAAAATATACAGCCACCTCAGCTTTGCTTTTTGAGAAGTGTTCTATTTTTGCTTTTCCACGCAAGGGAGGTTTCTTATGCCAACTTGTAAGTGTGTATTAAAACTCTGTTATCTAAGCTACATGGTGAAAATTTCAGTCGTTGCAGAGTAATCCCAAGGTTAACATAACAATTTTCTAACCAAACCCCACGATTCCATGTTAAAGTTAAACATCTTGAGTGCCATCCAGTGGAAGTTGAGCATGTCTGATTCCCACAGAACTGAAGAACATAAGGACACTCAATTTAGGCACCAGCTAAGTGCTTACTTCTATGTGAGATTTATTCATTTAACGGTGCAGGAAATAATTATAAAGTGCATAAATAAATATAGAGAAATAGGAGGAAAGCACAGTGTTTAACGCTTGCCGGCGTGAGCTCTTCAGTTTCTCTCCTCTTCTCTCTCCTTGTTGTTGTATTATTAAAGTCTTTTCAAACATAGATGTCATGATGGCAGGTTGTTGCTGTATTTCTAGTTTGTAACTTTTAATTTGTATCGTTTTTAAGATTGTGCGCTGCTTTGGGTTTCAATGCTTGGGAGAAAAGAAGGGTAACAACAACAACAGCAACAACAGAAATTACAACACAATAGATGGTATACACATTAGAAACATGTGTTGCAGAATCTTGGATGCAATTTGAGGAAAAGAAAAGTAAAGTGAGAAAAAAGAACAAATGATGTGATAGTTGAAACCACATGCATGAAGTTTATATCATGGATCTCACTGTAGTCTCCCTTCTTTTGCAAATATTAAGAATCCGTATTTTTGCAACAAACAGAACACAAAGCTACATTGGCTGTTTCATGCTAAAATATCATACTTTTGCATATTAAATACCTGTAGTTGATACTTGCAGAGAGAAAACACAGATTACTATTATGCAGCACACTTACCTCTGGAAATTCTGAGAAGGAAAATGGCCATAAAAAGCCAAATGTCAAAGAGGAGAGCCATTCTTGCGCCTATCTGTTTTACCCCATGTATCGATGGCATATATATATGATATTCAAAGGAAGTGGGTTTGGCTTCTTTCTCCTATGTGCATTGCGTCAGAAACCGAGAAATCTGCCATAGCTCCAGTATGAACACTGAAAGTCATCTCTTGTTCATTTCTAGGCCTGAAATGTTCATCATGCCATTTCCATTAAATACCCTTCTCAATGCAATATGAAGCAAAAGAGACAGAGTTCTCAGGTCAGACATCTTTTTACTCAATTTGTGGTCTGGAATACAGAAGATGTTTTGTGCATCGACGATTGGTGTGTAAAAGAATTGCTATCATGGCATACATGAATAAACCTAATTTTCTGCTGAATGAGAAGTATGCTTTGTGGGAATTAGAAAGATCGGCTGAGAAAGCCACTGAAAGAGCCATCACTTGTGATAAAACAATAAATAGTAACAAGGTTTCCCAATTCAAGTTTGGAACAAGCAAACATTTCCCAAGTTAACATGCTCTCAGCAAAACAATTTCATTTGATTATTCATGGGTTTGATCGAAATTGTTCTCTCCAGGAATCCCTAGGTCTTTCAGTGTAAGCTCAAAGTCAACTTCCTTTAGTCATGCTGGAGGCACAGTGCCCAAATATCTCTAGCTGCTATTTCCAATCAGAAACTAGAAACGAGGAGATTCAAAATGCAAGAGTTTAATCTGCAGAAAACACTAAGGTGTAGTTGCCTGAAAAGCAGAGCACCACACTTGACTGTCCTGCATCATGGGTGAAACCAGAGTCATCAACGCTAACATGCATGCATGTAATCAGGGGCAGATGAACCATTAGGCAAGATACACATTTGTGTAGAGCACCACATTCCCGAGGGGCACTCTTGAGGGGCCCCGGGTGCACAGGAGGAGCAGGAGCAACAGCCCCCAAAGGGACAGCGACAGGTGCAGTCTCAACTCTGTCCTGGGATAAGCTCTCTCCTGTGACACCTTTAGGAGGAGGCGTCTTCCTTCTCTTGCACCACAGGGCTTGCTTTCTCTTTCTTCACCCACGAAAGCCCTGAAAGTGAATCCCTGATCCCTCCCCCCATTCTCCCTCTCTCCTTCCTTCCTTCAGTTCCTTCATTGCTCAAGTTTTGCCTGCAGGTTGTGTTTGTGTTGGCCAGCCTAGAAAGGCTAGCCTTTGTATTTTGTCATCTGAATGCTGCCCAAAGGGTGGCGGGGGGGGGGGGGGGGGCGGGTGGATGACCATCTGTCGGGGGTGCTTTGAATGCAATTTTCCTGCTTCTTGGCAGAATGGGTTTGGACTGGATGGCCCATGAGGTCTCTTCCAACTCTGTGATTCAGTGGGCCCTCACTCACACATTTCCCCTGGTGCTTGACAATGCTTATTATCTCTTTCCAATTTCCAAATTCCTTCACTCCTTTTCACTCTCTTCTCATTCAATTCTCCCCTCTCTGTAACCCATTCTCAAACTTTCTTCTTGTAAAATTTACTTCAAATCTTAGCACCATCACCTAGAGATTTGTAGAGAGAATCAGTGGTTCCCAACCTTTCTTTAACCACTTGACCAGGGGCCACTCATTAGTACCAAAAGGGTTAGGAATCAGTTTTTGGTCAACTTTAGATTTGGTTTGGTTATTTGGGGGTGCTGATTCAGAAAATTGCATTGGCTTGGTCACACCAGCTCTAGCTTCTGATACAGAACATATGCCATCCAGCAGTCGCCATCTGGTCATCCACAGAAAATCATATTTTAAAAGCCTTGCACTATAAGAGGGTTTCGCAAAACTAGTTGCTCTCGTTGCAACATTGTAGTAGTGGTGGTATTGCAGACTATATTTTAGTTCTTGTAGACCACTGGTGATCCATGGACCACACTGAGAACCACTGGTCTAGATCCTCCAATGCAATTCTATTGTCAGCTTCCAGCAGAAGTTGACCAAGAAGTGGTTCTGGAAGATGCAGATGTTCCTGGAATGGTTTTAAGTTAAGACATGGATGTGAGACTAAGCATTTGGACAATGATTTCCAGTGCAATAATGATCTTCCAGTGCAGTAATGAATAATGCAATTGTCAACCGGAATGGCTTCAGAAATATGCTTTTGGATTGTGCAATTTTGAATCTAATATGTTTTAATTATGTGGTTTAATTAATGGCTAATTTTCCTGGATCTCTCGGTGATTTCTGAAACCATTACCTACTGTATTAAATAATTCTGAGCCCTTTGGACATATTGTGATTCTTTTTATGGCTGTTGTGACCTATGTTTGCTGAGTTTCTCCCCATTAACCATTGTGTTTCTAAGGGGCTAATAGTGGACAGTAATTTGCTAATTTTCAGAATATTTGTTCCAGACCACCGCAACTCTGGTGATAGCGGATACTTACTTAGGCGATCCTTCGTTGTCCAAATATGGTGGCCTTCCAAGTGTAGTGTCTTGGCAGTGGGTACGTAGGTGACTGTAGAGCCCCATTCTTGATCCCAATGTTCTTCCACAGTGAGAACGTTGGTTTCCAGATGGAAGGCGGTCCAGGTCAGGGTTGGCTTGATGTGCCTTTCCCCTGGCACATTTCTCCATTCGTGCCTCTTCAAATTCCACAGCACTGCTAATAACGGCTGACCTCCAGCTAGAGTGCTCAAGGGCCACAGCTTCCCTGCGTTTATGCCACAGTTTTTAAGGTTAGCTTTAAGCCCATCTTTTCCTGTCTACCAACATTCTGTTTTCCATTCTTGAGTTGGGAGTATATGCTCCTTATGTGAGCTGCAAAATAAAGAAATGTAACCTGTAAATTTTGGGCATTCAGGATGGAGTTGAAGACTGATCTTTCCCAGTCAATTTTCAATTGTGAATTTTAAATTTATATTCTATGTGTGTTTTAGTTTGAACATGTATTATATTTATTCCTTGCACTATGTGTTTTCATATTTGCCACAGAATAATAGAGCTTGGCTGCTCTAAGTCATAGAACAATAGAATCATAGATTTGGAATGGACCTCCATCAAGTCCAACTCCCTGCCAAGAAGCAGGAACATTGCATTCAGAGCCCCCTGACAGATGGCCAATATGGAGTGAAAGTCAATATGGACTGAAAGGATCTTCTAACACATGTGCAAGTTTTATTCCCCATCATCATCATTTCAATACATTCCTGATCTCCAAAGATGATTCTTCAGCTGTACTTTATAAAAAGGAGAATCAGCCTGTTTAACAAGCCCAACAAAGCTGATTTATTCTAAGCAAAGGACTAATGTTCAGACTCCACCTGGAATCACACTGTGTCGAATTCTGGGCACTGCAATTGAAGGGAGATGTTGACAACCCTAAAATGATCAAGGGTCTGGAGAAGAAGTCCTATGAGGAGCGGCTTAAAGAGCTGGGCATGCAGAAGAGAAGGAAGAGAGGAGACATGATGGCCATGTATAAATATGTGAGGGGAAGTCATAGGGAGGAGGGAGCAGCTTGCTTTGTGCTTCTCTGGAGACTACGATGCAGAACAACAGTTTCAAACTACAGGAAAGGAGATTACACCTGAACATTAGGAAGAACTTCTAATGCTGAGAGAGCTGAAGAGAGCTGTTGAGCAGTGAAACTCTCTGCCCCGGAATGTGATGGAGGCTGCTTCTTTTGGAGGCTTTTAAACAAAGGCTGGATGGCCATTTGTTTGGGGGGGCGGGTGCTTTGAATGTGATTTGCTTCTTGGCAGGGGTTTGGATTAGATGGCCCATGAGGTCTCTTCCAACTCAATGATTCTATGATTCTAAGATTATGATTTTTCCAGGAATTCT